CAAGCGATCATGTGCGGCAAGCGTGGCATGCCGTTCGCATGTAGAATAATACACTCGAGGCAATATCCGTTCGGCGTAACATCAGCTTCCAGCACATCCCAGGTCTTTAACATCCTCCGATCCCTACTCAGGAATAATTACGGGGAAGAGTTTGTCGCACTTCTTAAATCCTGGCTAGTAAACATGCTCGTCCCAGTCCTGCCTATCCTCCCACTCCGCCCTGTTGATACCGTCCTAACGCGAACGTAAGTACCAGAATGGCCGTCTAACCTTAGGCAACATATTTTAGATCAGTAAATCAAAGTAGGTTAATGAACTTTATCATTTGTTATTGTTGTCCCTAAGTATTCCCTAATGATGGGGAGACTGCGCGGTACGGTCTAGTTTGCTAGGAGATCTCAAGAAGGATGGCCGATTCTCAAGAACGTTCCATAATGAGGATGGCCGATTCTCAAGAACGTTCCATAATGCTTCTATTCACAATTTCTATTACAGTAAGTCTTCTTCACCCTTTTTGGTAGTATTCAACTCAAAATCGACAATTTCAGAAACTACTACTATACGTCTTTTCTACTTGTATTATACTAGCAAATAACTGCCATAGAAGGAAACGAGCTACTGCGGGTCGTGCACCTCGTGCACCTAAGAAGAAAAAAAAGCGAGAACCTCGTGGAGTCCGGTTTCGAAGACGTCGACAGGCTGCCAAGACAGTCACGTCGTCCTCGGTAAGTCATTAGTACCGAACCACTGACACTATCCCATCGTAAAAACCTCCCACAACATGCATTTGGCATCATCGCAACTCCACTGTGCTATGCGTCTCTTACGCTAATTGTAAAAGTTGGAACCTTTGGAAGGGAAGGAACACTAGGGTGGATTAGATGCTGATCTCAAGAGAAACGTTGGAAGATAGGAGGAAATGACCAACTGGATACTACCTCGTCGAGAGTACTGTGATAAGGACGGGGCGTGGCCCGTTCGATTATCATTTTCGCCCATCTCCCTTCATACGTACTTCCCCTGCCACGAGGTACGGCGTGGTGGTACCTCCACATACCATGACTTGCCGCGCGCGGCTGCCGCGATTCAGCGCGGCCTGTGCCGACCGAATGCTACACCCTGTTCGCGAAAGCCGCATGCGGCGGATCGATTACACGGAACCGATACAACTGCCCATCTCCCGCTACATCCACCTCTGCCCGACGAGAGACCCAATGGGAGGAGTTAAATTTCAAATGATTTGCTACGGTAATTTTACAGACTTCGAAACAAGTCAAGGGTGGTATACCTGAGTTGGGACTGCATACTGCCAAACCGCTACCACCTCGTGCGGCTAAAGCTAAGAAATCGGAGGAAAACCTCAAAAATGTAAGCCGATGCACTTGTATTCGTTTATTTCAGAATAATAGAACCCCCTGTGAATTATGTTTTATAGGCACATGTAGAAGATGAAAAACCAACAACCTTTACGTCTAAAACAGAAGAGCAGGAGTTTTTGCCGTATCCTTCGGTAAAATCGCCTACGCCAAGTGCCAAGAAACGTCGAAAAGAGCAACTGTTAGAAGACAAAAAGAGAAAGATTGCAGAGGGTTTCTATCAGGTAAGGGATAGGTAGGATGGCAACGGTCACCTTCAGCATAGACAATCTTGAAGCCTCTGACATTATAGCCACGCTCTGACCAAGACGATACTTTGGAGAAGGTCGTCAGTCTCAAAATGGAGCAGTCCGAACAGACAAGAAGAAGCATGAAACACTCAAGAAATCGAGATAGTTTATCACCGCGAAAGCCTCCCAATGAAAAGGGATCTGACAATGAGAGAAGTTCTCAGAAGGCGTCAAGGCGGGAGTCAGAGTTGAAACTGAAACCTTCTCAAAAAGCATCAGGAACAAGCCACTCAATCACTTGAATTACTGTTGTAAAAGCTTCAAGTTAAGTTGAAAATAAAGTGTAACAGAAGGACAGTTGGGTAGAATATTGGTCCACAAAATGGATGCGTGTAAAGAAAAATTGAGCAAAATTAAGTTGACCCATAGTTCCTGTCATTCAATTGATTTGCTCAAGAGGACGTCGGTAACGTCCCCACTCCTCCCTATCGCGAGCCGTAGGGGTATAGAAGATGACCCTCCTCGAGTGAAAGGACACGAGCCGTAGCATCATTCCGCTCAGAACCTTAGGTCTTGTTCCGAATTCATCACAGCAAATACTCAATTCAGTTCATGATACTCAATTTTCCCTGCAAGCTTCAGAGTTTCACACATTTTCACTCCCGCTGATGATCTTCTGTGAAATTACTCCAGCATGGGTCTCTGTCCCACTGCTCCATCTTCCCGAAAGCGTTAAAGTGAAGAAGGATACTCGGATTCCAGAGGTCAATTGAAAAGTGGATTTGATTCACGAATAGATTGAGTCGGGTTTTCCTAGGAATGCCTAAGGGCAGTAGCAAGTGACTGTCTGCTGGTAAAGATCTGTAAAATAGTGGCGATAAGGTGACGCTGCCAAACAGTAGTAGCCGAAGCCACATGCAGCCTCCCATCATGTTGGGAGAGGGACAGGGCCGCAGCTTGGCCCTGTTCCCACGATGCCTTGGCGTCCACCTCTCCCACGACTGCAGAACCACCCTCCATCGAGGGAGGGTAAATCAGCGTTTGCTGTTCCTTCTACGCTTTCTCTCTTGAGCGCCTACCCTTGGAAATGTCAGAGCCCCCACAGAATAACGAAATATTGTCCCTAACATAGCCAGCTGTCACATAGTTAATCACAAACCCGTCACTTTATTCGAGTTCCATACAGCCCCACCAAAGTTCTTCCATATTCCAATGTTTTGAACAAGACAGAATTAGGCCAAAAGTAGAAAACTCTGATTTATTAAAAAAGACTCTAGTCATTAGTAAATCCCGTGAAACTGGTTGATACTGTTACAAAGACCAGGCCCAACTCTTGCAGTAAATTGCCATTACAATTAGAGTGATCAAGCAGATCTTTGGCGATCCATATATTGCCAATTCTCCTTTCCCTCCTAAAACTCTGTGTTAAAAAGAAAAAAGACGAGTTGCAATATGTTACTACCACGTGTGAGCCATTTCTTGGCCGCAACCCCATGGTCATACACCCTTTCGACGTGAGCCCTAAGGAAGAGTTGGCAGACGTCGAGCGTCGTCCTCACCAATGCTGCCATTCGTCAAAGCCCTCGCGGCGAGAAAAGCTCTGGTCATCGACGACTACAAGTTTAGGCCGCTTTAGTATAGAACTTCCTCGACATTTTAAATATGTATTGAAGAAGACCCGTGAAAGTCTATTCAGGATTTCAATGAGTGTTTTTACAACAGCAAAGGGGATTGAAGGGTTCCCTTCAGTGTTCGACACTGTTCATGGGGATGTTCACCCTTACTTAATCGATATTCACTATCTGATATTGCTAGCTCCTACAAGTACATATATCCATTCATATTAACTTGGCTCTGAAGCGGCACTACCGTCACTTACAGTTCCGTCTGGCTTGGCTGCATTTCAGGGGTCCGGAAACTTCTCCCCTAACGCGACGTCGCACACGCCGCCGCCGCAGGATTGCGATGGAAGATTGGAGCGCGCAATTCGTAAGGTAGAGAGTCCTTTAATTATTTGAATAGGCTGGCCGCTCTTTTCAATTCCAATGCGGTCTTGATCGTCGTTTATATAGGAGGAGTCATTTTAATTAATCAAGTCTAATAAACATGAAAACTAAAAAGAAACAGAAGAAAAAACGATAAAATCATCGCGTCCTATCGATTGGCGGGAGGCGGGGTGAGTACATTAATTGCAGTGACATTTGCCGCATGCCGCAAGGGAGAAT